CCGGAAGTGAAATAGCTCCTGGTCCGAAACAGAAAACCAAGTGCACTTTAAGCAATTGGTCTCACGTGATTTTCCCAAGAAAGGTTATTACTGATAGTAATACCAAGTATCGAAATGGATGTCTTCAAAGGTATGGTTACTCCTGACAAGCTTATGTTGGCCACGGTGAGATCGGCTTTTCTAGAGAAGAGGCATTCTTGTGTTTTGTTTGCATTGAAATCTACCAAGTTATTGGATCCCCATTCGAGAATTATTCCCAAGTCCATATTTATGTTGTCAACATTCCTTATTCCTTGTTCGTTTCTGATTGGCCTGGCTGCTATTAGAGCCCTGGAAGTTTGTGACTAGTTTTGGCTTGATCTTCAGACACATAAAATACCTCAGAAGACATGTGGAGATAAGTATAAAAAAAAAATGCAAACAACGCTGTAGAAACCAGATCTTCAAGAGATATTTCTACCTCATCTTGATAGTTTAGGATGATCAATTGATCAATGCCTAACAGGCATTAGATATGTCATGGAAACCATCCATCCTGCTCAAAGTGGTCCAAAACGTTTTAAAGGAAAATGAAGTACAAGACATAGTCGGTCGACCACAAAAAATTATATTAACAAATCAAGTTTGTGACTAGTTTCGGCCAAACGGCCATCTTCAGACACATGAAATATCTAAGAAGACATGTGGAGATAAGTAACATTGAAATGCGAACAATGCCGTAGAAACAAGATCTTCAAGAGATATTTCTTCCTCAGCAGCAAATTATCTTGGTATTTTAGGATGATCAAAGTCTTATCTTTCAGATGTATCTAATGCCAGTCAGGCTTTGATCATCCTAATATAATATACCAAGATAATATGCTGCTGAGGTAGAAATCTCTCTTGAAGATCTGGTTTCTACAGCGTTCTTTGCATTTTAATGTTACTTATCTCCACATGTCTTCTTAGGTATTTTATGTGTCTGAAGACTTTGTGCTGTACTGTTTTTTCTTTGAAAACATTTTGGACCACTTTTGAGAAGGATGGATGGTTTCCATGACTTATTTAGTTGAATTGATGGAATAATATATTTCATCGAACAGAGGCCCATCAATCATCCCTTAATCCTATGCTTCATTGACTGGGGCTGCGTGAGTTGTAACATATCTATTTCTTCGATTTTCAGTATGGGTTCCTATACAGGCTGATTCACGGTGGATGGCACATTAGACGTTTCTGGTGAACCAGAGAACGGATCATTTTGAAAATTCAATGGAGGGCATATTCGGACATTCTCTAGCCAACTAAAATATTTTCGACAATGCGGTGTTGCTGCTTCTATTAGAAAGCAGTAGCAACTTTGATTTTTCAAATGGAACACTCTGTATTTTATTGTATTTTTAGATTTTCCCTGAAGAGCAGATTTCATCGATGTATCACACTTAGGGTCTAGCGGAAATGATTACAGAGATATAGGGTGTGAAAAATCGACATTCTTCAACTTTAGGATTTTTTTTTGTCGAAACTATTCATTATTGGTCAAAACGGCTCACATGTCCCTATCTCAACTTTTGATCAATTATCTACTAACATTTAATTGAAACAAATACAGGGTGGTGCAGAATTCAGAATCTTGATCACCCGGTATATGTCCCAATTAAATATCAGTAGATAGTTAATCAAAAGTTGAGATAGGGACGTGTAAGCCGTTTTGACCAATGATGAATATTTTCGACACAAAAAAATCCTAAAGTTGAAAAATGTCGATTTTTCACACCCCATATCTCTGTAATCATCTCCGCTAAACCCCAAGAGTGATACATCGATGAAATCAGCTCTCCAGGGAGAATCTTAAAATGCAATAAAATACAGAGTGTTCCGTTAAGAAAAATCAAAGTTGACACTGCTTTCTAATAGAAGCGGCAACACCGCATTGTCGAAAATATTTTAGTTGGCTAGAGAATGTCCGAATATGCCCTCCATTGAATTTTCAAAATGATCCGTTGTCTGGTTCACCAGAAACGTCTAATGTGCCATCCACCGTGAATCAGCCTGTATATCACTTACACTATGATATATACCTTAATAAGGACATAAGGACTCATCACCCCTGTGAAACCTCTTATTTTCAATCGATCTCGATTTTTTTCGTTTGCTAGCTATCATAAATGTAGGATTCTGATGTTGTCTAGGGTGAATGATAGTCCAAGGGTGTAAATGAATGTGTTTTTTCTGTGACGGGAAAAAAGTTTGGCATTTCATCCCTGTTGGTGGGTTATAAAATGTCACTTTCCATAAATAACTTTTTCCTGTGGGAAAAAAGTGAGTACTTTTTTCCCGGATATATCTTACATATATATACACTGTTGATGGTTTTTGTTGTGCTATAGTTCCGAAAAATGAGTCAATAATACCGTCTGCGAGAAAGAACTGCTAGTCCTTTTATCTTCCATTCGACTTCGCGGTTACGAATATTACTAAACAATCACAAAATTCGCAATTTTTTGAAATCAAATTACAGAAGTAGACTGACAGAAGTGACATCAGATATTTGATTACTTCAAATGAATGATAAAGATGCCTACAACGCGGTGACCCTACTGTTAAAAACTTGAAGAAATTTCACGTCGATAATTTTTAGATTTCAAAATAATGTAATATCTTCTCAATATTGATTCGTCCTTTCTTCTGTCACAGAAAAAAATAGTGTATTATACACGGGAAAAATATTAGATTTTAGCTCACGGTTTGTTGTCTCCCTCCGCTACGCATCGGAAGAAAACACAACCTGGAGCTAAAATCTACTGCTTTTTTCCCTTGTATAATAAATAACTATTATTCGGACAACCAATGTCACAGGAACACTGACAGTACGTCACAATATTTAGCTTGATGTGCTTAACTTTCAAGGATCTCTTTACGTCCGTCCTCGACTAAGATGCTCCCAACGTCTTTATACGTCTGTTACTATTATTGTTTGCTATGAGATTCTTCAATATCCCAACCAAAACCTCTATAAATACTATATTCCGAACGTCTCCCGGAATTGCTCCCTTCCTGTTATAATTTCTTATCCCAGGATAATAATAATAATAATGGTTTATTCATCTACATAATAATAGTACAATTTATATAAACAATAGCTCTGTAGAGGAATAAACATAATGATCCAAGGATCATCCTACGAAGTATATAAAATACTTGTTTGTAGGTACATACATATGTATATATTAATACAAAAATATCCAACAAATAAGTTTGAGGAATGTGAATTAAAAATATATAAATAAAATACAGAAAATACAAAATGTGGAGAAAATGCTATGACGTAAAACTGGTACATTTATAAATAACATTGGGTAATAATTGACATTAAAGAATATTGAAAATTGTGAATGTCGATATATCATTTTCCTAACCTATATATAGTCTACCTTCATCAATGGAAATTCACAGATCATATATACTTATAAACTTACATACACACATGTATGTCTACATACATATACATACAAATGCTTCAAATTTCAAATATTTAAAATTTCATGTACAGCCAATCTGGTCATTTCTGATACATATTTTTTCAATTTCTTCCGATACAATTTTAGTTGTGTTTCCTCTCTCAGACTTTCAGGTAAGCAATTGTAAATTTTTGGCCCCAAAAAACTGTAACTTCTTTGCCCTACCGATTTATGCATAAATGGAACAATATATCGAGTTTGTCCTCTGGTATCATATCGAGAAGATCTACTCATCAATTCTTGTTTGTTAACGAACTGAGTCGTGGCAATACTTATAAAAAATAGTCGTTTAACATCAAGGATTTTTGTTTCTGAATAGAGTTGGTCTGACGGATAACGCGATTCTTTTTTGTAAATTATTTTCAAAAGGCGTCTTTGAATGACTTCGATTTTATTCATATATATCTGCAATCCTCCTCCCCAACCAATAATTCCATATGTCAGATGGGGTTCAAAAAGAGTATGATAGAGCATTTTTAGATGATTTTCTTCAAGTTTATCAGAAAATTGTTTTATTTTATATACTACACATCTTAGTTTCTTCAGAACATGGTTTATCTGATGATCCCATCTGATATGACTGTCTATTATTATGCCCAAGTATTTAATTGAGTTCGCGGAAGTGATTTGAAGCTCACCTTGTATACATAAATCATGATAATCTGGAAGGCTTGATGCATAACTGCAGAAAGGTACGTAGTACGTTTTCTTAAAATTGATTGATAATAGTTTATTGTCAAACCATTTCTTAATTAGTGGAAGATCACTTTCAATTTTTGTTCTTAGGTCAGACCATGTTTGATCCTCGTATAAAATCACAGTATCATCTGCGAAGCTTATAATGTTGCCTACAGATTCAACGAGGAAAAAATTATTTAAATATATTGTGAATAGAACTGGACCTAACACTGTCCCTTGAGGTACACCACATGTGACAATGTGTTCCTTTCTATACGAGTCCTGTATTACCACTATCATTCTTGATAGTTCGTAATCCTAACTGAATGTTGAAATACCGAGTGATATATAAATTCACCGTAGGAGAAACAATAAAATTGAATGCAAACAATATAATATAATTATTATAATTAAAATGAAAACATAAATTCCTACATAAATGCATATTCATTACAAATGATTGACTCTTCTTTGAGGCTTCCAACCACTTCTATGGGGTCAAATTTCGAAAAACTGGTACCTACTATCATTGAGATTTTTAACGAAAACACAACCTAATGGTAACTCTCTCTTCTAAATACTTGATCACCCTGTATGCCAAGCATGTTGCTTTCAAGAGATTTACTGCCAAGGACAATACTGTTACTTGCGATGTTAGATTACCACAAAAATTCGCTATAAACTTAACAAAGTCATCTTGTTTACATGATGATTATGGGATGCATTCCAATTAGACTTTTTCGTATAATACAATTATTTGCTTTACGAGATAAATGATTTTCGATTCAAAGTATATAAAGACTAGGCTGGGGCAAATGCTTCAAATCGAACGAAATTTGTTTCAAGATGCGTACCCTCATATTTTTTATTGCACTTTCCGCTATTGCTTTAGCACAAGATCTACCGGAATTGCCGCCATGGAATGATGTTCTCGCTGAAGGTTCAGGAGTTGATGAACAAGGAGGTAAGCGATTTCACTACCTATTTCATAGAATAGAATATAATAGAATAGAATGAGTTCTCCACCACTAGCTATAGAACCTACCATTGATTGCTTCTTTTCAAAACTTGAAGTGTGTTTTTCTACGGCTCTAACACCAAGTTGCTCTTGTTTCATTGTGTTCGATACGTCAATGAGGTACTTTGTATGTCATCACTAGTAATATCACTGGTGATATTACTAGTGATGACATACAGTTGTATTCAATAAAAAAAGCGTACGAGTATTAAACATAGAAGATTTCGGCATTCTAGTTCTCATTGTGTAAGATTGGCTCAGCCAATGCTTTGTGTTTTTGGGAACCTATGATTACTCTACTGTCAACATTTGGTAAACATTCATTCCCGATAGCCCGTTTTACGCAAATATGATGACGTTAATTTCTCCCTGCAATATACTTGTACGCTTTTTTTTTAATACGGCTGTACATGAATAAATTGAGAATATTTCGACAGATTCTCGAGAACTTGTAGCCAAGCAATAGACACGAGAGCCCAAAGAGCTCGAGCCATTGCCAAATGACAACAAGTTCGATAAACAATCTGGAAAAATATTCTCTAATTTATCGAAGTCTCGTGCGGTATTTGATAAAATATGTTTTTATTCTACTAGGAAAACCTTTCTTCAAAAGCATAACTTTATTTCAACAGTCAGCAGATGAAGAAAATACAAAATAAAAGAACAAGACTCACCTATGTACATTGAAATTCTGGACATGAAAAATACAGTTATTATAAATATTGTGTCCTTGAGTGGAGGAGTCTGCAACATTGGTTTGTTCTGTTGTGTTAGTGGTAGGTATGTGCTTCCACTTCCTCTTAAATGATCAATCTAATTTGAATAATGTTCCTTATCCAACTGTTAGTGAGGCTACAGTGAATCAGATGAGCTGTGGTCCGTAATCTTCATAATCTCTTTCCCATCAATTCCTGGTTTGGCAAGATGAGACACTGCAGTTGAACGCGCTGAATGGTTCGTGACTATATTTTTTTTAATATCTACTATCAGCTCTGCAGATTCCTTCATCCATTTCGACATAGTGTTCACCCCAATCGGCATATATTCTTGTACCATCTTGTAGAATATGGCCTATCCCAAGCAATGTTCACTGTTGAAAAGAGTCTATCAGTCTTGATATTTGCATACCGCTTATTTAATGATTGCTTTGGCAATTGAACAGGACCCAAATCAATATTTTTGGTTTTTGGTATTTGGTATCAACCATGTACTATTGGCACATCTTTCTGCTTCACCTTGTTTTACTGTGTTCGATACGTCAATGAAGTACTTTGTATGTCATCACTAGTAATATCACTTGTGATTTTACTAGTGATGACATACATGAATAAATTGAGAATATTTCGACAGATTCTCGAGAACTTGTTGCCAGGCAATAGACACGAAAGCTCAAAGGACTCGAGTGGTTATTGCCGAATGGCAACAAGTTCGATAAACAATCTGGAAAAATATTATCTGATTTATCGAATTCTCGTGCGGTATTTGCTAGAATATTTTTGTATTCTACTAGGAAAACCTTTCCTCAAAAGAATAATTTGATTTCAACTGTCAATAGATGAAGACAACACAAAATAAAATAACAAGACTCACCTATGTACATTGAAATTCTGGACATGTAACATACAGTTATTATAAATATTGTGTCCTTGAGTGTAGGAGTCTACAACATTGCTGTTGTGTTAGTGGGATCTATGTGTTTTCCACTTCCTCTTAAATGGTCAATCGAATCCAAAGACTCGTTCACCAACGAACAGCGAGGCTCTGGAACACATTACCAAGGGAGGTGTTCCCCGAGGCATATAACCTTCAGGAATTCAAGAAGAACACTTATTCCTACCTTATTTCCCTCGATTCTCAAGATGTTCTCTGAAAATTACAGGATATCCCTTTTCGTGGGAACCAGAACATAAAAAAGCATACTATCTCTTATGTAAATTTACTATTCCAGGAGGTGACACACTGCCTAGTGGTACAGACTCATTTATAGAGGAAATCAATGTCACAGACCCGGTTGTCGAGGAGAACAATGAAGCAGTACAGTCTGACACTATTGCAGAACAACCTAGCTTGCCTGAGGCTGGAAATGATGTAGACCAAAATGTTGCCGAGGAGAACAATAATGAAGAAGGAGAAACCGCCAATAATGCAGAACAGCCTGAGGAAGGCGATGTCGAAACTGGTGCTGAAGGTAGTAACGATGGTGCTGGGGATGCTGCTGGAAGTATTGAAGAATCAGCCGGTCAAAACAGCGATTCTAATGCACCACAAGGTAATACAGTCATGAACTATACCGGGTGTCAACGAATCTATTAGACAGGCCATTACTCCCAAATTATCGGTGTATCAAAATGAAATTCCATTCGGGTACATGGTTTGTGAAGAGGAAAGTTTCCGCTTGTTTTTTACTTTCCGGTCACTTCAATTCTCAAAAGGGGCACCCTGTATATTATACAAATTCTGAATTTCTGAGACAATTCTGTGAAGTGACTGAAAAAATCAAGTATTCGTAAAAACTTTTGGAAATGTCATATTCTGATCCAGAATTGTCACAAAAATTCGGAAATGTTACAATATATAGGGAAGTCCATTTAAAAATTCTGAAATGGAGCCAGTTCCGGTGAAACCGGAAGTGACCGGGAACTGAGAGATATGCGAAAGCTTTCATTTCCACATACCATATTACCATATTATAAAAGGAGATTTATAGTTATTTATTGTAGGTTTCACAGAAAATCACTTGCGAAAAGCATGAATCGTTTTTATTGATAAATTCGGTACATCGACATGATATGCGCGGTACGAGATGAGGGTTAATCACGGGGTAGGTCAGGGCCGGCGTTAGGAATGGGAGGATGGGTATTATCGTTACAATATTGAAGTTCATCTTGATACACCCAATATCCTAGAAGTTATGGCTTGTCTAATAAATTCGTATAATTGTCAGGTGGATAATATTTCCAAAAGGTTGAATATCATGAGAGTGGAACGCTTCAAACTCTAGAAGTAAAAATAACTCATTCAAAAAACCCAAATGATGTTATTCGATTTTTATTTGTTCACATTATAACGTGATAATAAAATTTCCCACACGCGTTGTTTTGAACATTCTTCTAATTGGGTAATAAAAAGACGCTTATCAGAACAAACAAACGAACTAATTTTTTTTTCACTTTGAATGAAACAATTTAGTATCAACATTTGATTTAATAAGTGAAAATCGGATATGCTTATCTGAGTTTGTTTTGTATTATTTTATTGCTACGTACGTTCCTGGGGTTCGGTGCGTTATACTCTTGACTGATCCTGTAGGTATCAATTCATTTTGGAAAGTAGAAATGAGCTGGAAATCAGGAAATTCAGGGAAAAATAAAACAATTTTTCGTACTTCCGGGCCTAAAGTGACAACTTCACTCCCTTGTGACAGGTACTAAAGTGTCACATTTAATCCCTCCGGGATTAAATATTGACGAAACTCCCGGAACGATTAAATCACAAACAAACGAATTTAAGGGATATTTTATTGAAAAATATAATTAATTAGAATGGTAATTAACGTTAATATTCAAATTAATATTGTGACAGTTCGTCATATTGACCAGTCTTCCCTGGGTTAATGCAGCAGGTAACTGACGAGTAACAGATAGGTCCTTTTCATATTGAACTGGTGTTTGTTTCGAAGATCCTGCGGAAACAGGAAGCGAGAATGAGGACTGTGGCATAACTATAGTGGACGAATCGGCGACTTGACCAAATATTTTATCTGAAATTTTTTGTTTATTTTTAATAGACGATTCAATATATCCCTCGGCCACGTTGGAGGATTTCCATCCTCCATGTCTCTTCAGCACGTCTATTGTTGCTCCCGAATCAGCTAACAAAGACGCAGATGTGCGTCTAAAACAATGTCCCGAATAAGACGTCGCATTTTCTAATTTCAAGAAAGCTGCTATTTGCCGTGGAAATGTACCAAACATGTTTTTTCCTACTACTCGCGTAGTACATTCTTTGTTGATGTATTGAACAAAAAATTTTGAATGAGTTGTCCCTATCTTTCGCAATGCCACATATTTCCGAAATATCGCCACAAAACTGATGGCACTGTTTTCTGAATTTTTGATCACAAAATTTCGGTCAATTTTATTTTTGGTGTTTCTAATCGCAATTAGGAAGGAATCGCCCAAATCTCTCACATCGTCGATTTCTAAATCAACCAACTCTTTTCCACGACAAGCTCCCGCAACGCCCAAAATAAGTGCAACCTACAAAAAAATTGATTTCTTAAAATTTCTGAATATAAACAAATTTCCAAATTTACCTTAAGCATTAAATATTTATCATCCGGAGCCTCCCGTAAGAACTGATCTACCTGCTCAGACGTGAGAATTCTTGACTTCTTTGGCTTAAATCCCTCATTTCTTCTCTTCAAAAAAGCTAATAATTTTGGAAATTTACTTATATCAATATCTTCTCTAATGTTAATAACCGATTTCAGCATTGAGTAAAGTGCCCAGAGAGTTGAGGCACAAACCGCTTTTGATTTATCATCGAAGTAGACTAACAGCGCATTTTCAGTAGGTTGTCTCACATTTTTTAAGCGGCACCACTTTTTAAAAGCATCGTACTGCTGCTCGTATAGTTTTCTAGATTTCGGTGGTAACAATTCTTCACCTACTTCGGCTGCTCTTTTATCAATATCAGATACACCTTCTTCACTCATGATACCAATAATTATCAATAACAATGTTTCTTTACAATGACACTAGTAATGACAATGTTTCTAAATTATAACTGTCACAACGCAATGTTACTATGGTAACTTATTTTAAAGACAGTTTATTAAATGAGTTGAAGAGAGAAAAAACTGATTGAAATTATTGGAATAATTAATAAAATCATACCGGAAGTACGAAAAGTATCGTATATACCTTGCGACTGAAGTACATTTAATCCTTCAGGTAAATTATGGCCCTCCCTGCGGTCGGGCCATAAACTTTACCTTCAGGATTAAATGTACTACTTCAGTCCCGCGGTATATAATGTACTATTATTGCCCTTGGAGGAAGACAACTTTTTATAAGACTTGGAGATATAGGGCCTGAACATTGTCGTTCTAGATGAAAAAAAAATTGTCTGTTCATTGAATGAAAAGAAAAAAGGAAGAAATTATGTAGTTTAGAGACATCTACGATTCACCGAACAGACAATATTATACCTCCTCGCACTAGGTCGCCTACTAGGTTTTCATTTAGATCGACAATGGCCTGAATAAATGCCTCGTCATTTGATTAGATATACAGTGTGACCCATTTTCAATGGAAACACCCCCCTAAAATATGAAGTTGTGAACCGATTTCAATATTTTTTTTTGAAATGTCGAGTACTGAAAGGTCTACCTTGGGACAAAATTTGAAATGTTCATTCCAACTTCCAGAGTATACTACGATCTTTATTCTTAGTCGAAAATCAGGATTTTTCATTAGCGATTTTTTTCACTGCGCCACTGGATTCAGAGTGCCTTTAAACAGGTGTGACCAAAATTTCATGGAAAAATATTCACTAATAAAAAAGTTATGACAAGTCAAAAATTCGAACTCAGGCAGCTAACAGTCACAAAAATAGTAGATTGTTTTATTAGGATCAAAAGTGACACTTTGTTTGACAAGCGAATTTTGCATTTGCGAGGCGGAGCGTTTAGCGAAGCCGAGCGAAAGCAAAATTTGCGAGTCGAACAAAGTCACTTTTGATCCGAATGAAACATGCTATTTTTTCTGCAACCGAAACAATTAACTCAAATAAACATGTGAAGTAACCACCAATGCCGTGCCATATGTATGCAATGCAACAAATATTGACAAATCAAGGATGTTCGAATTGTAGTTTCAATATAAATACAACCACAGAGTGACATATTTGTGTATGGACCAGGTACTCTAATGGCAAATACCGCGCCAGTGCCACCTATAGGAACAAAGACGTGGAAAATGTTAGGTTAGTGAGCATATCAACAATGATAATAGTGATTATTTATTCCTTTCCATACTAAACTGCGTTTGACTTGATAATCTAATGAAGCTGAACAATATCGTTGTTTGAGACAAAAAAACTATTGCTTGCCGTGATTATTCAAAAACAAGTTATCCATCCCGAGAATAACAAATGAAATACAGATCAAGCAAGTATTTGAATTTTGAAGGCTTCCCTGATCAAAACAAAAATACTTAACTGAGATGTTTATAATTCCAATACTAAACTATAATAAGGTGTATTTATATCTCCAGCATGGGTATGAAATTCCAAATCTGCTGAAATCGGAAAAAAATCAGGTATGCGTCTCAACCCAAATAACCAACCGTCACAATGTTGTTTATTCTTGATAACGTTCAGTACATTTTTTTTGGTTCCTAGGAGCTAAAGTTGAACTTTAGCTCCTAGGCACTAAAATTCCACTTTAGCTCCTAGGAACTAAATATGTTGCCTAGCAACATGTCTATTTTTGTGTCAGTAATAGAAACGTCAATTTAAGAGCTAATTTTGGTATCAAAATGGACGACTTTTGTGTCGGTTGCAGAAAAACACCCTTTATCAACAGATTTAGCCATGAAAATTTTTTTTTATAATTTCAACTATAAAGTGCTACCAGATGAACAAAAAAATTGATAGCGTAAATTGTTTTAATGAAAATAACGGAATTAGTTTCAAGTTTTCACGAAAATTAACTAAAGTTATTACTTATTATTAATGAATATTTTTCCATGAGATTTTGATCACACCTGTTTAGAGGCACTCTGAATCCAGTGGCGTAGTGATTTTTTCAATTAAAAAATCGCTAATAAAAAATTCCGATTTTCCACTTAGAAAAAATATCGTAGTATGCCCTGAAAATAGGAATAAATATTCGAAATTTCGTCCCAAGGTAGACCTTTTAGTACTTGACATTTCGACAACAAATTAGTAAAATCGATTTACAGCTTCAAATTTTAGGGGGATGTTTCCATTAAAAATGGGTCACACTGTAGAATAAAACCGACAAACTTCGTATACGGATTCCTCTGCCGCTTTTTGAAATGAAAAGTCCCCATCAACGTATATCCTAAAATGCATTCTCTCTGAGATACAGGGTGTCAAGAGTACGAATGAAATCAAGGATTATATTGATTTTTTCAGTGAAGACAAATGGAGAGGGCTCATTTTCATTATAAAATCGAATCTTACAGTAAAATTCACATTTTCAATGTTTCACATCCTCTTTTTGAACCCACTTTTCTGAGCACCCTGTTAATTATTCAGTGGTTGTGATTATGGTCAGAAGTCCGTTCGACCTTCAATATTTACTATTCTATCACTGTATACTATTTCTCAAAATCGCGATTCACATAAAATTGGCATATTTTCAATAAGCTCTTGTCTCTTTTTCTAGAAAAACAGGAATATAACTCAAAAGTGGTTTATTTCATATATATGTGTAATAATTGTAATACATTGATTTGAAATGGAATCATCCAGAGAATCGAAAAATATTGTGAAGTACACGGTGGCCCATTGAAAATAACGAATATGACGTCACTTCCAGAAAAACCGGAAACTTCACAAACGAAAATATTGTAGTTGGTTCTCCATGTTTTCTTCATGCTACTTTTTTTCATAAAATCTTCATTCAGATCACTTGTAGTTATCAATATCATTGATCGCGTTATTAACTCATGAAGATGGGACCATATCTATATCTCTCATGGTTGACTTTATCCCAATGATATTCAAACTTCAGCCACTTTACAAATTTGAATTCGAATTCAAGTCATCCTGTACAGGGTGGCCAACTAAGACTCCAGAGTTCGATTTCTCTATTGTCTTGAGAGATACAAAAAAAAAGTCATGTATCAAAATTGAAGTAATAACCGAGCTTCACATTTCAAAATCTTTTTGAAATACACAGGTTGTTCCGTAAGGTCACAGCACATCAAAGCTATGTTTTTTTTTTTTTATTGAAACACCCTATATTTTATTTCATTTTTGAATCCTCCCTGAAGATCTGGTTTCAACGACCCATCATACTTAGGGTCTAGCAGTGAAAATTCCTGACATATAGGGTGTGCAAAATCGAGATTTTTCCAAGTTCAGGATTTTTTTCTGTCGAAACTGTTCATTTTTCGTCAAAACGGTTAACATGTCCCTGTCTCAACTTTTCACTCACTATCAATTGGTGTTCAATTGAAATTGATACAAGGTGGTCAAAAAAACTAAATTTATAATTTGTTTCAATTAAATGTCAATTGAACACCAATTGATTGTGAGTGAGAAGTTGAGATAGGGACATGTAAACCGTTTTGACGAATAATGAACAGTTTGGACAGAAGAAAATCCTGAACTTGGGAAATCTCGATTTTGCACACCCTATATGTAAGTAACTTTCACTGTTAGACCCTATGTATGATGCGTCGTTGAAACCAGATCTTGTGACCTCACGGAACACCCTGTGTATTTCAAACAAATTTTGAAATGTGAATCTCGGTTATCCCTTCAATTTGAATGCAAAGCTTTTTTTGTATCTCTCAAGACAACAGAGGTAACGAACTCTGGATTCTTAGCTGGCCACCCTGTACAGTAGTCAGCTCTAAAGATACCTACCTACTCATATCATCCTGTAAAAACTCGAGAATGATCGCATGAATGCATTTTCTGAATTAACACTTTTATTACCAGGAGAAGAAAACGAAGAAGCCAACGCAGAAAACATCGAAGAAGAATCAGGCCAAGACAACAACGAATCCAAGCAAACTGGAGAAAACGACGATGACAACGAAGTTTCTAACAATAGTGGAAACAATGACGATTCGGAAGATGAACAGGAATCTAATGAAGAAAACAAAGACAGGAATGAAAGGCTAGAAGAATATAGAGAAAGGAGAAGGGAATTATACCAAAGAAGGCGACTGGATGCGTTGCAAGCAGCCCTCGAAAGAAGACAGAAAGAATTAGGTTAGTGCCTTTTTTTATTCCTGGAATCTCTCACCTAGGAAGAATTGGGAGAAACAGTGGCGTGTTTAAGGGGAGGGCAGAGGCCCCCTCCCCCCAAAGCATGCTACACTCGAATAAAAAAACACGAAAATTTCGGTTCATCCAGTCTTATTTGATATTTATCGAAATATACCATATAAATATTGATATATGATGATTGTTTCATGCTACACGGTGTGGATATTTCATACACTGAAAAACTCGTTAAATCGTTAGTTCATACCTGAAATGGAACCACGAACAGTTGAGAAGAAGAATATTATTCTCTTCGCCCGCCGGTCAGCCTGACCGGCGGGTGGCGATCGTGTTTCCGTTTCCGTTCATATAATATCAGTTAGCTGTAGACTGTAAAGTCGCTGAGTTAGTTGGTGGCGGTGGTAGCTTTGCATGAGTAATCTCGAGTCATATCAAAACAAGAACTAAGAGCTGAAATAATAATGTGGCAAAAAATATGGAAAAATTAACCAGATTTGCCCTCTACAGCAATCGAAGCACTTTGTTTTGGGGCGAGTTCGTTTCCTGCAATAAAGATTTCACTGCAAATATTTGTGACTCTACCTGTACCAATGGCAACAGCGGAAAAGAGCCTTTCAACCATAAAGCGCTTGAAAACCCACCTAAGATCAACCATGGTTGAAGAGCGTTTGAATGGTCTAACTTTACTTAATATTCACAAAGAAGTCGATTCGAATATTGAAAATGTAATAAATAGGTTCGCCACAAGTAAAGCCAAACGAATGAGCCTCAAAGACTGGTCAGGTTGAAAAATTTGATCTAGAAAAATTTATTGGTATGCTATTTTTCATGTTTGTTCATTGCTTAGCCAAATTGAGAAAGAATGGTTGTTCTGGTGTTGTGTCGTTTAGTTATATTCGTCGATGTATCACGACAAATTTTGGCAACATTTTTTATTTTTGCCCCCTGAAGCGAGATTTTGAACACGTCACTGGGAGAAAATGTATAGGTATTGTAATTTTCTCAAACCTTTGAAAGTTCTCGGGATGACACAATATGAAATACTCATTTCCTCATACACTTTTTATTCATGGTGGTTCAGGTTAAACGTCATTAATTTTGATGGGCGATAGAACAACGGAAAAGAACTAGAGATTTATGGAAAGACTGGTTGAAAATGCTTCCTGACAGCAGTAGAACAACAAAAGGAGAGTGAACTTTCATGATTATAGTTCGGTTGAAAATGCTTTCTATAACAAAGATGACAGAGTTCTGACACTTTGATTGAGTTCTTGTTAGGTTTGGAATCATCAAAAACGACAATGGAATTTGTACCTACTTCATGAAGATTATTGAAAGCCATACTATTCAACCTCTATACAGGGTGTTGCGAAATTTGAACGACAACGCTTGACAGGTGATAGCCCTCGTGATTTCATAATCACTGAGATAGGGACATACGGGTCTTCGAGTGTTCAGTTCTCGAGATACAGGGCGTTGAAGTTAAGAAATGAAAATAGTTGTCTCGCAATATCTCAAGGAAAATTGAATATAATGCATTCAACTTCGGTATATGGTTTCATCTTTGAATGGGTCATTTTATGAAAAGGAAGCCATTCCGGACATTTTATCCAGTGGTGCCCTTCAGGGGGGTGGGGCAACTTTTCCTCCCATATTTTCTACGCCACGGATTGAATTTCAATTATTTCCAATTCCTCGAATTCCTTGTTTCATTTTGTTAAAAAAATGCATTACCTTCAACTGAGCCGAAATGAACAGTTTTCGAGATAAACAACCCAAAATAGAAGATTGCATAGTAATATTTCATCATTTTCAGCAGTAGAAAATTGCGAAAATCTTTCTTCTATTCTTGAGTAGATGAGATACTATTCAGATCTCATTATGTAGCTGGACAGAGATAGTTATTCCACGCATGAAGAGAAGAAACTGAGAAGTTGAAAAATTACTATGCAAACTTCTATTTTGGGTCAAATATCTCGATAACTGTTCATTTTAGCTCAGTTGTAGATGATGCAGTTTTCCAACATAATTGAACAATCAATCTGGGAAATTAGAAATAATCGAAATTCCAACAGTGGCGTAGGAAATATGGGACGAAAAATTATCACAAACCTCTGTAGCGCACCTCTGGGTAGAATTCTCGGAATGTCTTCCTGGTCATAAAATTAACCATTGAAAGATGAAACCATTTACCAAATTTGAATGCATTATATTCAATTCTTCTTGAGATATTGCGAAGAACCTATTCAAATTTCTTAACTTCAACGCCCTGTATGTCCCTATCTCAGTGATTATGAAATCACGAAGGCTATCACCTGTCAAGCGTTGTCGGTCGAATTTCGCAACACCCTGTATACAGAACCTCATTAGTCATTTTACAACCTTTCAAATTCAAATAGATATCTCAGAAACGAACCAAATTTTGCAGGAGTTTCTTCAATCTATGAATTGAAAAAGAAATCTTAGAATTGAATCTGAATTTATGAAATATCCAGTGAAACCTAAGATCAGGAGAGGGAGAAGGAGGTGCCTACCCTCATTATCTACGAAACTGAAGAATATATCCGAACGATTTCAATCAATATACGCAGAGATCTGATATACAGGGTATGTCACGAAGAGCTCACACTATCTCTATATCGAGAATCAGACAGGAGAAATCCATGAATATATGCACACTCGAGTGCACACTCATAACAGGAATTTTGAAATATTATCAGCAATGCAGTGTTGCCGCTTCTACTAGCAGTAGTAGCAACATTGATATTTCAAATGGAACACCCTGTATTTTATCGCATTTTTAGATTTCGATATCGATTATCGATATATTGCGCTTGGGGTCAAGCAAGAAATGTTACATGGATATAAGGTGTTCAAAATCGAGATTTTTCAACTTTAGGATTTTTGTGTGTCGAAACTATTCATTATCGGGTCAAAACGGCTCACATGTTTCAATCTCAACTTTCGATTCACTATTCACTGATATTCAATCGGAACAGATACCGGGTGGTTCACGATTCAGAATTCTGATCATCCTGTATCTGTTCCGATTGAATATCAGTAAATAGTGAATCAAAAGTTGAGATAGGGACAGGTGAGCCGTTTTGGCATATGATAAATAGTTTAGACACAAAGAAATCCTCAAGTTGAAAAATCTCGATATTGAACACCCTATATATATCTGTTTTCATTTCCGATTGAACCCATGTATCGATGGAATCAGCTCTTCAGGGAGAATCTGAGAATGCAATGAAATACAGGGTATTCTATTCAAAATAACAAAGTTGTTACTTTTTTATAGAAGCTGCAACACTGCATTGCTGAAAATATTTTGAATGAAGAGAGCGTATTCTACGATATGAGCTTGCATATTCTCATATTTTTCTCGATTCTCTGATTTTCGAAATAGAGATAGTGTAAGCTCGTCGTGTACCTGTACCCTGTACCCTGTATTAGTTTATGTGACGAATTTTATCGAAATCAGTTTGGTGGTTTGAAAGTTAATATGAGAAAGCGAATTTTTGCCCAAAATTTCGAGACGCTGTATATTCAAACATCAAATTTCGCAGTCATTTGAAGAGTTTCTTCAGAGGCGTCGATGATAGGGGTCGACATCTTCTTCTCCCTCTCCTTATCTCCGGTTTCACTAGTGCAGAAAGTTACTGTCCCAACAATAAAATGAGTGCGAAAAGGGATACTTTCCGCATGAGTTAGGAACAGTAGTTCTTCTACAAGCGTAGGAAATTGATTGATTTGTTCAATCAACTATTCCTGCGAATAGAAACAACTAACAATAGTGAAATGAGCCAAAAATACTTCTTCTTTGTTTGATGTTTTGACATTGACTTTTTTACTATTGCACCATTCAGTAAATCTCGTGTAGTGCTTCTCATACCTTTCTTATGATTCCGTTGGCAATAACTCATCTGTATCGCATCTGTAGCTGGAAGTTTTTCATCGCAATTCCACTGAATCGAAAATGACAGTAACGCTCTGTCTGTCACTCTGAAAATTACATCAGTTGCGTTTTATTTGTTCCATTCTGGTAGCGGTGGTAGGAACAGAATGACATTAACAAATAAAACGAGAAACTTCATAACCTTGCCTGAGAGAATTTACATAATAGGTTATATTTGTATATAGGAGATCCGAATAATTTAAAAAGCATAATACTAGAGTTAAAACTCTAGAAAATGAATCAACTAATATTTGGAGCAGTGATTGTGATGATTGAAGAAACTTTTCTGAGATCGGCAGAGTTTATTTTATCTGGGAATGAACATATGAACTAGTGAAACTCACGCTGGAAATGTCTTCTAAATGTATTTTACTTTCAAAAAAAGGTTCATTTTTTGTCAATCTAATTTGATTTCTTGACACCTGTCAACGGTCATCCCACATCATTCCTTGTAGTGAGACGGAATGGAAAGTATCAACCGGAATCGGAAAAGTTGCAAATCAAACGACACATCAAAACTGATTCCGGTGGCGGAATCGGATAAATAAAACGCAACTATGAATTTGTGTTTTGATTGACATGACAACAATTGTTTCTCACATCAGATCAACTAAAGGCTATTGGGGGATTTATATATAACAATCAATTATTATTTTTCGATATTTCTTCATTTTCACAATAAATAGTGCAATTTGATGGATGATTTTGTAAGAACTTGTGCAAACAAAATACTAAGAACTAAATCCACCACTCATATTTTGCGAGAACATTATATAAATCTTGTACCCGCACTAGTGTGGAAAACTTCTACCGCACTACTGCGGGAAAATTACACTTTCCAAACTAAATTGCGTGCGGGTATAGGGTGAATCCCACACTCTTGTAGAAAATATATTATTAGTACTTATATTCGTTTTTATTTTTTCTTTCAGCTGAACTTGAAAACAGATATGGGCCAGCTGTCGCTGGTTTGTGTGACCCTAGAGCATGTAAAATTGAATGCATGAAAAATGGTAATCATGCTGGATACTGCTTCCCTAGGACCACCTGCAATTGTGTATAGATCCTGATTGAATATAGAAAATTGTAATTAAATAGACCTAATTGTTGAATAAAGAACCTGTCTGCTCACATCTGTTTCTTGTCGGGAACCATTGTGTTCAAAAATGATGATGTTATAGAAAATAGAAAGAATCATATTATTTTACACAAAAAAATCATATAAGCTCAGATGAACATGTGTTCTTACTTGCATCGTATATGGAATTCAGGATATTGAAGTTGGAAGTAATGTATTTTTGACATCTTCCCTCTGTGTAAGCATTCATGGTGCTCCAAAATTTAGTGTGGTAGTCTGGTTGGTCACTGACAGAATCCCTAACTTTTAGAATGATTCAAAATCATATAATATTTTGAATATATTTACACCAAAAGAAGCTCTATGTTATCATCAACAAAACCAAGTTTAATTGAAATTGAAAAATAGACAGTTTGAATAATTGATAAATGAACGACTCTTCATCGAGAAGTAGTATTCAAATCGAGAAAAAGATAGTTTGAATAATCAATAGATGAACGGTTTTATATGGAAAAGTTTCATTCAAATTGAGAAAAAGACAATTTGGATAGTTCATGAATATCCGATTTTTTGTGGAACAGTTTTATTGAAATCAAGAAGAAGACACTTTGATTAATTATTATATATTCGATTTTTTATCGAAAAATTCATTGAAATTGAGAAAAGGGCCATTCGAATAATTTATTTATGAACAAACGTTAGTAGAAGTCTAGTGTAGCTCAAAGTGGAGTGATAAGGTTCATATTCTATTAGAAAAGCAGAAAGTCATCTCCACGACTTTTTTATTCAAAAACATCAGATTATAGGACTATATTTTGGACATATGCAATGTCCATCTGCAGCCTATGCTAAGAAGTCCTACAATACAAGGAGATACATCATGATATCGAAAACCTTTTTCAAATGGATAGAACTCGCATCGAAATGAGGGTTATGTCACATTTTATAAAATATAGGGTTATTCAAAAAAACCGGAATTTTGTTTTTGTCTGACAACTTTTTCATTTATTGGCCAATTTTATTGATTTTGGTCTTGTTCGAAAGAGAATTGATCAAGGCAGTCCGTTGATAGCAAATTTTTCATATTCGTTCAAAAAACAAAATGGCGGAGTCACCTAAACTTGGTACAATTTGAAAACTTGCTGGAACTTTTTTAAGTCGCACTGTATATCGTTTCGTGTGAGAATCTGGAAGTTTGGACATTTCTGAATAGAACAAGATGTCGAACATGATAATCCGTCGAAAAATACCTGATATATATATGACAGGATATAGACATGTATGTTTTCACATTTTGTTACCAATTTTTCATTGAAATCGAGGCGGCGTATGTCAATCATCGCTTTTTGTGTTGTTGATTCTTGTTATTTGTAATTATTGACAGCTCTTGAATTGACTTTTTGAGATAGAAATCACTTCATTTTTGCTTTCTAAAGTGTATATAATGGCGCTTTCCAATGACGATGAAATTTTTATCAAAACTTTAATTTTGAGAGGATACAGAGTGAGTGATATTTTACAACATTTTGCTGTCGAGCGGTATAAAAAAAGTACAATTTACGATTTCGTAAAGAAATTTAACTTAACACACTCCATTGCAAGACGCGAAGGAAGTGGGTGGCCAAGGAGTGTCAGAACACAGGTTGGTAAGCTAGGTGCTATCATTGTATGTCTTATGATCTACCAAAACTCATTTCAGGCAAGTATTGCCCAAGTCTTCAATTTGGCTGTGAGTCCCGAAAGGGCGCCTAGGACCAGCTTTAGCGTTCCGCAAATTTCCAGAAGATCTGGAATATCGCGTAGCTCTGTGAACAGGATAATAAAGATTGATTTGGGGCTTAATTTTTTTAAGCGAATGTATTCATTCAAACTCACTCCTGAAATCAAAGCCAGAAGATTGTTGAGATGTAGAAATCTTTTGAATAAATTCAGATCTAGGAGAGATATTCAAAAAATTTGGTTCACCGACGAAAAAATATTTACAATCAACCCCTTGAAAAACTCGCAAAATGATAGATTTTGTTTACCTCACCACCAACGAAAACGGGAAACGCCGTTGGAACGTCTTCTGAGTGAAAGAGATAAATTCACTAAGTACGTCATGGTTTCTGCAGGAATTTCTAGAGAACATAAAGCAAATCTGATTTTCATTAGGCAAGGGGTCAGGCTAAATTCACAGAGTTATTGTGACACTGTTTTAGCACAAATGCTTCCAGAAATAGAGGATTCAACTCCTGACTTTATTTTCATGCAGGTATGTTTGTATCTTCTCATCATTTTCCTCGAGTTTTTCTTATATCATTTATTATTTTTTGACTATTTCCATTAAAAATTTGATTTTAGGATGGCGCGAGATGTCACACCAGTGCACACACCATTAATTACTTAAGAGAGAACGTTGCCAATTTTTTAGAACCACAAGAATGGCCTCCAAATAGTCCAGATTTGAATCCTTGTGACTATTTTCTGTGGGGTGATTTGGAGGCTAGAGTTCACAAAAATGGAACAATATTTGCAAATGTTGAACAACTACAAGAGAGAATTCTTCAGTGTTGGGAGGAAACCAGCCAAGTTAATATTAGGAAATCAATTGACAGTTGGCGACGACGTGTGGAATTAGTGGTTGAAGCTGATGGGGACCACATTAGAACATAATTTTCTCGCTTACTCTTGTTTCTTGTTCAATATCGTTTTTCCTTTTGTTTGAGAATGATTGTATTGAGTTGAATTCAATGAAGGAATCGTAATTTATGCTTTTTATACCACTTGACTCAAAATTATCATGATTTTGAAGACTTTGAAAATCATAAATGAGGTGGATCTTGGAAATAACGAATGAAAATGAGCATAAAAGTTCCAAAACATACATGTCTATATCCTGTCATATATCAGGTATTTTTCGACGGATTATCATGTTCGACATCTTGTTCTATTCAGAAATGTCCAAACTTCCAGATTCTTACACGAAACGATATACAGTGCGACTTAAAAAAGTTCCAGCAAGTTTTCAAATTCTACCAAGTTTAGGTGACTCCGCCATTTTGTTTTTTGAACGAATATGAAAAATTTGCTATCAGCGGACTGCCTTGATCAATTCTCTCTCGAACAAGACCAAAATCAATCAAATCGGCCAATAAACGAAAAAGTTATCAGACATAAACAAAATTCCGGTTTTTTTTTGACAACCCTATATAATTGATGAGAAAGGGTTCTTCAAGGGGTCCCAACTTTGGGGGTTGGGGAAATCAAATTATGGAGGGTGACTATGAGGCTCAACAATGAGTAACAAACTATTGTTGAGTATAGGCGGAGGAGGTTGGTGTTTTTTTTTTATGTTCTGGTTCCCACGGAAAGGAAAAACCTGTAATGTTCAGAGAACATCGTAAGAACCAAGAAGAATAAAGTAGGTATTAGTGTTCTTCTTACATTTCTTGAGGTCATATGCATCGGGGAACACCGCCCTTGGCAATGTGTTCCAGAGCCTCGCTGTTGGTTGGATGACCGAGTCTTTGGAAAGAGATGTTCTGCAGGTTTCCAAAGAGACCACGAAGTGGTGTGAAGCCTCAACTTGACGGGTTAATCTCGATGGGACTGCCAAGGGACGTACAATTGTTGATATTTCAGAATGAGAATATCCATGAAATAGAGCCAGATCGACAACTTTTCTACGGTGTTCCAGAGAAGTGAGTGAGTTTGTGAGCGAGGCATTTTTCTTAACTTCTGTAGATTATGAGTTCTTGGAAATACTTCATCAGGCAATGAATTCCAGAGATTTTCCGTTTCATAGAGAAAGGAGTTTTGTCTGCGCTTGTCGAGTTCGTTTGGCTGGTATTGCTAGTCGTGAATTTTTTTTTGTGAAATAAGTACCTATATCGCTACTTCAAAATTAGGAACAAACTCCCCAGGAGTGGAAACTTGTGCGGGGTTAGGAAGAGCAGGACTTACAGCTTATAGTGGAATCCGAACCACTTCTAGGGCAACGAGGTGCTTCCAGGATCACAACCATGAATCACAGATTTTAAAGAACAATGATCAGCTGATAGCCTGATTAGAACCGACAGTACTTCATCGTGAAATTCTATCTAGCGAATTTCAGCGCATAGACAAACTCGACCACGGTGCCCATGATAGCAGAGAACATTTCCAGTAGAAGTATCTATAAAAAAGTGGCAGGTCGCCGACCTTTCCACGGTGTTCCAACGATGTCAAAGTTTTAGTGAGTGTGGCATCACCCACCAGCCGAATGGCTCTTCTCTGGAGGAAATTTGAGAGCATCAGAGTATGTTTATGTGCTGAACCCCATATGTGAGAACAGTATTCTAGAACAGGTCGTATCTTTTCATCGTACATCATGGGAAGCTGTTGAGGTGTGAAGTAGCTTTTCGCACGGACTAAAAATCCAAGTATCTGTGAAGCAGCATTCGCGATGGATCCGACATGATTATCTCATGAAAGAGTATTGTTGATGAAGGCACCGAGCATAGATAAAGTTGACTTGAAAATGTTGTTATCAGACATTGTTATATCAGGTATACTGACTTCCGTCTTTCTTAACAAACGCGGCGTTGAATTTGACTAGGTTGTTGGTTCCCAAGGCTATGATTTCAACAAGATCTCCATTGATAGCAATGATCTGCCTCCGCCGTGAGTTCTCAGTTACCTGGAAAGGAATGGGAATCCTGGAAGGGAACGCAATATGGAGAGTTCTTTATATCATCTGCAAAACTGTTGATAAACAAGTGGTTGCTCCCAACAGAGAATTGATATGTAGTAGGAACAATGTTGGTGCCAAAATTGATCCTCGTGGAACGCCAGAATTGATTGCAATGGTATCAGACGATACTTCTACCACCACCACATGGAGCGATCTGCCTGAAAAAAAATTCGTTTAAAGAGGGCATAGCTGAGGTGCTAGGCAGTATAAATGTAGTTTGTGAAGCATGCCTTTTCTCTAGAGGAGCCGATCTCACTGTACCCAACATAAGCTTGCCAGGAGTAACCATACCATTAGAGACATCCATATCGGTGCTTGGTATTACTATCAGCAATAAC